AGTTGTTTTTATTTTGAATTTTTAATGTTGCAATTTATTTGAGTAAAGGTCAAATATGTCTGTGGGAATCCATGTAGACTTTAGATGCACAGCTTCCAGTTAAGACCCCCATGCAAGCCATCTCCCCTTCAAAGGAAAGGCAGGAAGGAAATACAATGAGGCAGGCTAAATTACAAGCTTATTTCAGTTTGAATATCTTACTTTTAGAAACTAAGACTGAGGCATTTCAGCCTTTCAGAATAATTTTTGTGCTTCTATTTAATCAGGATTTTTCCCTTATAAATGCTTTTTCATGATAGCATTTAAACTGTTCAGAGCCAAATTGAAGATTTCCCCACCCCAGCCTATTCCAGGAAGGATGGGTAAAATGATTGTCTCTTTAAAAAAATAGAGGATTAAATCATTTCTCCACAGGAAGAACATAATAGTATTTTATTGCATTTGCATTGCATATTTTATTCCTTTCTTATTAATGTGATGAAAATATCCACAATAGTCTGCCTGTGGAATTCCATGTATCCTTTGCATTTGGCTGTTTTTCTTCTCCGGTCACAAAGGTTCAAGCCTGAAAACAGTGTAATCTCTCAGTCCTCTTATGTATCCCATTTACTCTGATGCTGGCCTTTTTTAGGAAATGTTTTTAAAGGACTGATTATTTTTTTAGGGAGGAAACATACAGGGATTGTGGAAGCATCAGAGATACAATACAAAAACACCCCTGACAGTTTCTGATTAAAAATTGGGATGCATTCAATATGAATATGCTGATTGAGGAAGCTACTTCATCCATTTTTTATCATATGTGCTGCAGTATTGGAAAATCCGTAAGAGCAGATTGAAGGTGCAGACCTGAAAGACCTTGCAGTTCTCACTTGTTTCCTGATAGTGTAACAGGATTGTGAAGTCACAAGGAACGTTTCCCTTTGCTACAGTGAACTCAGGCCAACTTGTTGTCATGAGCTGCTCTCTTAAGCGAAGCAAAGTCCTAGTTCCCATGCTCTCTAAAGCAGAACCTCCATGGACACAAGGAGAGATGGTGGCATTCTCCCAGCAAGTCCAAGGTCCCAATTCAGACATATCTACAAGTCCTTGTTCATGTTTAAGAGCATAAGTGCATAAAAACCTGGCTGGATCAGATGAATCTAGTCCAGCATTCTGTTCCCATGGTGGGCACACAGATACCTACAGGATGCACACACACCAGACATGAATTTAGTAACACCTACACCCACCCTGCAATTCGTTCTGGCAGGCTGTTTCCAGAATTAAGCACCACCTGTCACTGGCGTTGCCAACTTGGTGTCCTCCAGATGTTTTACACTTCAATACCCATCATCCCCTGCCAGGATGGTCATAAAATCTGGGACTTGCAAGCCAAACCATCTGGAGGGCACCAGGGTACAAAGGCCAATTTATAGCCATCATGACTAGCAGCCACAGATATGGACAACTTCCTCTGAACTCATAGCAGTTGGTCTCACTGCTACAACTTATTTATTTATTTATTTTATTTATTTAAAACATTTTTATGCCACCCCCATCGTAATGAAGCCTCAGGGCGGCTCACAACAGAAACAAAATACATAAATAAATGACAATATAACAATAAAAAAATTATTTAAAAACCTCCGGTGCATCTCGGCTAAAAATTTAAAATCCTATAAATACAAATAATTTAACAATTAAAATAAGTTTTAAATAAAAAGGTCTTAGCCTGGCACCAGAAAACAAATAATGACGGCACCAGGTGGACCTCTCTGGGGAGCGCATTCCATAAATGGGGCGCCACAGCAGAGAAAGCCCTCCTCCGGGTACTCAGCCTCCTAATATCATTCACAGAGGGTTCCCAGAGAAGAGCATCTGTTGCTGATCTCAAGGGGCGGGAGGGCATATATGGACGCAAGCATTCCTTTAGATATCCAGGTCCCAAGCCATTTAGGGCTTTATAGGTCATAACCAACACCTTGAATTGGGCCTGGACTTCAATCGGGAGCCAGTGGAGCTGACGTAGAACTGGGGTTATATGAGAACAACGCCCAGTCCCCGTCAGCAACCTGGCAGCAATATACTGCACCAACTGAAGTATCCGGACCGTCTTCAAGGGTAGCCCCACGTAGAGCGTGTTACAGAAATCTAATCAGGAAGTCACCAACACGTGTGTCACTGTCACCAGGCATTCATCCTCCAGGAAGGGACGCAGCTGATGTATCAGCTGAAGCTGAAGGAAGGCGCTCCTCGTCACCGCCGTCACCTGAGCTTCTAGAGACAGCTCAGGGTCGAGGAGCACTCCTAAGCTGCGAACCCTGTCCCTCAGAGGGAGTGCAACCCCATTTAGCACAAGGCCCAAGTCCCCCATCCCGAGACCTGAGCCACCCACCAACAGGACCTCCGTCTTGTCTGGATTGAACTTCATTACCTCGGCCAGGCACCAGTTCAGCACAGCCACTGCCTCACCTGGATTGGTGGAAAACGAGAGGTAGAGCTGGGTATCATCAGCGTACTGATGATTCTGCAGCCCACACCTCTGGATGACCTCTCCCAGTGGTTTCATGTAGATGTTGAAGAGCAAAGGGGACAGAATAGACCCCTGCGGAACTCCATGGCATAACTGCCATGGCGCAGAGGTAAAGTCCCCCAGCACCACCTTCTGGAATCGGCCATTGAGATAGAAGTGGAACCACTGCAAAGCAGTGCCTCCGACCCCCAATCCCACTAGCCTATTCAGAAGGATACCATGGTCAATGGTATCGAAAGCCGCTGAGAGGTCCAGGAGAACTAACAAGGACGCACTCCCCCTGTCTCTCTCCCTGCACAGGTCATCGTACAGGGCAACCAAGGCAGATTCAGTACCGTACCCGGGTCTGAAGCCGGACTGAAATGGGTCCAGATAATCAGTTTCATCCAAGAGTGCTTGGAGTTGTCCTGCCACCACCCGCTCTAGCACCTTGCCCAGGAACGGGATGTTGGCCACCGGTCTATAATTGGCGGCCACCTCTGGATCCAGGGATGCCTTCTTTAGGACTGGCCAGACTACCACCTCCTTTAAAGGGGCAGGTACCCGGCTGTCTCTTAAAGAGGCGTTGACCACCTCCAGGATCCAGGTCCCAATCCCGTCCTTGGCTTTCTTAAGTAGCCAAGATGGGCATGGGTCTAGTAAGCAAGTAGTAGGGCGTACTTGTCCAAGCACCTTGTCCACTTCATCAGGCCGCAACAACTAAAATTCATCCATTAATTGTGGACTCAATGGCGTTGATGGCATCTCCCCAGTAGAATCTGGTTCAATAGTAGAGTCAAGCTCATGGCGAATCTGAGCGATTTTCTCCCTGAAATGCTTGGCAAAGTCGTCACAGCGGGCCTTCGAGGGTGCCACAAGATCTTTCTTTGGGCCCGGATGTACCAGCCCCTGCACCACCCAAAAGAGCTCCACCGGATGGCATTGTGAGGAGGCAATGGAAATGGAGAAGAATTTCTTCTTTGCCATCCTCACCGCCACAGCATAGGCCCGATAGTGGGCTCTTAAGTGTGTTCGGTCAGCATCACCCCGTGATCTCCTCCACCTACGCTCTAGACGTCTCCCAACCTGCTTCATCGCCTGTAATTCAGTTGTATACCAAGGAGATGAACGGGCTCTGCCAGGTGGGAGAGGACGCTTGGGAGCGATCGTGTCAGTAGCCCTGGTCATCTCCTCATTCCACAGTTCAACCAGGGCATCGACAGGATCACCAGCCTTGTCAAACAGAAAATCCCCCAGAGCTTCCAGGAATCCATCAGGATCCATCCGGCTCCGGGGGCAGACCAATACAATCTGGTCTGCACCCTTGCAAAGGGAAAGGCCGCTCTTGAGCTCAAACTTTATGAATTATATAGTTCAACTCGTATGTGGTATGTGTTAAAAAAAAAAAAAAAAGAGGACTTCCTTTTATCTGCCCTTAATCTTCTGCTGGCCTTGTCCTGGTGTGCATGTCACAACAGCCCATTTAAGCAAAACAGAAAGACTGTGAATAGAAGCAACCATGAGAGCACCACCCCCCAGGCATTTCCATGGCAAGGGGAAAGGGTTGACTCAAGGGACTCCAGCTTGCAGATGAGCCATTAGAAGAGCCTTCAGGTTCACTGCATAACTTCTGCAGGTGAGATATGGTTCTCTTGAAGTGAGGAACCTCTTCTGTATCTCTAAATCACAAAATCGGCTGTTGTATCTTGGGCACCACCTGCTCTGCCCCCAGTATCCTACTCTGTTCTTTGCTGAGGGAACAGTCCAAATCATGGCAAATCTAGTTCCATTCAGATTAGTCAGCTACCCCAAACTGAAAGCAATTAAAGCCCTCAGCATGCAATTGGAGCGCCCTTCTTCTTTCCCACTGGTCAGTGTAAGACTACCACAGTTCTGCTCTCTTGCTAGTCAAAGGCCGAAATGGATACGATGCAGGATTTCCATTATTTGATTAGATCTCCTTATCTTTGTACCCATTTTACTTTAAAGTAGCCAGAGGTGGGGAGGGAGGGAGATTTGGTTTCCATCACTGCAGTAGTGCTGGAAAAGTAGATACTGAAAGCCTGTCATTGTTCTGATCCAAGCAATGACACCTCCCTGCTGGCGTGGGGGGAATGCAGGTAACTGCATGATGGGCCATCCTTGTAAAGCTGCTTTGGAACATGGCTGTTTTAGCCTGGGAAAATGATATCCAATGCTACTACTTTATAACTCTTATCAGAACTGTCCCATCCCAGAGCTGAAAGTTTTGTTCATTCGTTTGTCTGTTTCAAGGAGGAGATTTCCCTGGTCCTTAGAAGCTCAAGTAAAATGAAAATGAATACGTTAAGTCTTTTGACAAATAAAAGTGGCTCTCTTTAAGCACCTTAAACATAAATTTATTGTTCTCTAACTACTTAGGTGAAACAAACTTTTTCTTAAGCACTATAAATCTGCAAACACAGATTTAGCAAGTTGCATCTATTTTTTATGAAGTTCTAATTAGTGTGCTTTTGGACTCCCACAGGCTCAAACTTTGGAAATGAAGAGCAAATCACTCCTAAGGCGGCTGAGCCTTCTAAAGAAGCACCCAAGGGGACCAGTAGGACTCCACCGCAGGCATCAACTAGCACAGCAGCTGCCCGCCGGAGTTTACTTCCAGCTCCAAAGACTGCTGCAGCACCTGCTGGTGAGTTTTTCACACATCCGTAGCAGAGTGGATCACATGAGTACACACGTATGCATGCATATCTCTAGAATATGTGCCATGGCTTACTCCTAATTCTCTCACACTTTTTACCTGCAAGGCATGGGGATCTGTTTTATGAATGGCCAACCACATTCTCATTTGATAAAGGTACTGATTGCATTTACAGGTGTTTAATGCATCTGATCTTTCTGAATGCACCGGCCTTTTAGGATTCATAAATTTACAGGAATATTCAGTATCTGAGAAGCACACAGTCTGTTACTCACACAGATCGTGTATTACTTTTGACAACTTGCTGTCTCTGTAAATAGGGTTGCCAAGATGCAACTCAGATATGTGTCCCAGATCTTTAAATTCCCCTGAGACTTTAGAAGATGATGCAACCTTGGTGTTGGGAACTAGGTTTCCCCTTAGCTTCCAAAACAACAGACGGTCTCTCTGCAAAATAGTTCATTATTGCCTGTTCACAGCTAACAAGTGAAAGACTAGTCTCTGAGCATGAACAAATGATTAGTTGAACCCAAATGAGAAACTACTTTGAAAACTCTTGTTTCCAGTAACACTGGGCTCCATCTCTTTGAGTGGGTCCCTCTGGAGAAGGGCTAGCCTCCAAGGCCTATGTGAGCCCTCTAACTGGGTAAGCATTAGCCATGCTGGCTGGGGCTGATAGGACTTGAATTCTTAAACACCTGGAAGGCATCATGTTGGGGAAGGCTGTTGCAGCTGTATTTCCCAGTCACTCATATTCTCTAAAAACAGATTTGATGCTTCCCTCACTTCATTTCACTTATTTGTGTGCTTTTTTCATTTTGGTCAAGTGAGAAGAAGTAGGCATTTTAAACAGAGAAAATGCACACTTTTAAGGAAACGTACCAAAAATGTGCACTTCACCTATAGGGTTGAGTGCAACAAGGTATATTTGTAAACAATGCACATTTATATGAATGCAAACTTGAGTTTGGGAATTTGCAAGTATTTTTGGAAGATACTCTTTTTGTTAGCATTCAGAGTTGTGACCACAGCATGTTTGCATGAGTTGTGAACATTAACCATTTTTTCTGTACATTCCTAGTTGTAGCACAAGTGGCAGCAGTGGTTCTGAAACACGATCCACAGGCCAAATTCTGTTTTCCTGGGGTCCCAGTTCTGCTCTCTAGAATGCTTCAGATGACCAGACACCCTCCCCCGCCCCTCACTGATCATTTGGAAGTTTCTTAGCTTTTGTACCATTTTCCCTATTTTGAAGTTTAGGTCCTGGCAGTAAGAGTGTTAATGGCACAATCCTTTTGGGGTGACCTTAATCCCCCAAATTCAAAGGTTTGCAGGCATCCACTGCAGAACAAGAGGAGGAGCAGAGGTGATCTTCACCCCCATCCTCCTGCTCTGCATTTTTGCTAGGGTGTTTTTTTCAAACTAGCTGAAACATCTTGGAGGAGGAAGGAAGGAGGACAATTCTTTCTATAACGGATACAAGGCAGTTGGAAATCCAGTTCCCAGTTTTACGATTGAAGCACTGCCTCTGGCTTCAGAGATGGGAATCGAAAATGTTCTGTGGCCCTGTAGATTCTATCGAGGGGCCATAGGATCATTCCCCAAGTTAAAATGTGCTGGTATTTTGGCCCCACTACCTTTGCTTCTCTGAAATTCAGCTGGGCCCTCAGATCGGCAAAGTTTCTGCAGCTGTGTCTACCAGTGGCTGTGTCAAGTTCTCCATACACAAAACCAGCAGGGATGCACCTCACGTTTCCAGTAATCAGACTATCAGGGAGAAAGTCAAGACTGTTCACCTGATGATTGTAGTAGCTATCAGAACAAACAAGCTAGATACAGCAAAGATGAGCATTTCTGGACAGAGAGAGTAATTGGTATTATGTGTTGTTTCTGCACCATCAATACAATACATGTGTTAAATCAGAAGAGACTGTAGACATTAAGCACAGTTGCTGTTTTTCTGAGGGCCTGGATGTAGCAGATGTATCCATAGCTTGCTTACAGCAGCAGCAGCAGCTGAGACCAGTTTTATGGCTGCACTGTGCTATATATTTTACTGAAATAAGAGAACACTACGCTGTTAAGGTTATTTGGTATGTGTGTCAGCCAACTTGTTGCAGTCCCCAGCTAACGTATGGTTGTCATCCAAACATCCTTTTGATGCTATAAATGGCCTAACATGTAAAGCAACCCCATTATTTTATTGTTCTCTTTGTTATTGGCATTATTTTTCTTTCGTTAATTCACACCATGTCACACATCTTTTCGGCAGTTCTTCACATTCTGTAATGTGAGAAAGCACCAATTGGTGGCCCTGAGACTGAATTCTTTATTAAGCTGGGAAGAAAGGAGCAGAAGATGGGGCAGAGGGAGAAGAAAGGCAGCACAGGGCTTCTTGTTTCACAGTGGACCTTGCCAGTCTCAGATAACAAATGTTGAAAATGCATTTTTGTGTCAGGTGAATAATACTTGGTTTTGACTGTTATCTAACCTCTCGTTAAAAAGCCAAATCTGCAGCAACAACACCAAAATGTTGCTCTGGGGAATAATATGAAAGCTTGGAATTCTTATGGGGAGGTGTTGTGTTACTTTATATATGTATTTTAATTATTTAATTTCTCTGCCACCCAAGAGCCAAAGCTCATTGGGGGGAAAGGGCTGATGAATCTTGAAATTAGGCTTTGGGCATCACTACTTTAGCTCCATTGCCTTCATCAAGAGCTTTCAGAAGGCAATAATGGGGAAAATTCTGGCTGAGAACAGGTGAAATAAAATCACCACTTAAATATATTTCAAGAAGTTACTAAGATTCTCTTCCTACTTATACTTTCAGCTGTTGGCCACCAACAGCAGTCCTGTCATGACGAATAGAAGGATAAATATCAGTTTTTGGGGAGCTGGTAAGTGAGGGTGTCAGCTTCATTTTTCTTAAATCCAAACAAGCTAAGAAGGAACTTGCTGTTTTTCAGATAGAAATCTGACTGCTTCATACACTGACACAAAGAAGCAGATGAACACACTGGAAATAGGGAATTGAAATTGGCTGCTCCCTCAAGTCATATCCAAAGTACCTGAGGATGGCATCATATACCTCCATTTGATCAGCTTCCTAACTTAGGATCTTGGCACATCTTCCCTGGATTGCTTTGAATTATCTGGCCCCATAAGCAATGAAGGGGACCAGACTAGAAGATGTGAAGCAGCCTCATAGTGAAGATCTTTGGTTTTCTCAGTCAGAACAGCCTACTCTGCTGGGCTGCTGTGTTCCAGGCCTCTGGCTTAAGTTTTCCCAGCCTTCCCCACCCAATATTCTTTTACCTGCTGAAGCCAATTTCTATCCAATTTGGTCTGTGTGAGGAGAGGGGAGCCCCTGTCCTTCCTTGTGTGTGTATTTCTGATGACTTGCCAAGGGATATATTCGTCATTATTATTACATGAAAAGACTACATGTATTAGATATATTCTCTTGAGCAATCCAGCCCTTGCTTCTTATAAGATACTGTGCTTCTCCTGAGTAGACATGCTTTGTTGGCTTCTTCGTGATGGGTATATAAAGGCATGGATTTGGATGTGCTTTCAGAATTTGTTCCTGTATTCCAAAGACTGCTTTTCTTTGAGTCTGAAAAGATCATATGTAACTTTAATTATTATCATTATCAGTGTTATTAGGGCAGTCTGGATTTGTCCCTCCTGCTGATCATCTTAGAGTCTCATGATGCTCTGTGGAATGGGAGTTATCGCTAGAACAGAAGAGCGTGGGTCCAAATGTGTACTTCTGGGTGGGTGGGGGATTCCCACCCCTTGCATGCTGCCGGCCTCAGTTTTCTCTTGCAGAGGTAGAGGTTGATGGCAGGAGAGGATTCAGAGGCTGCACTGCCTCTCATGAGCCCTTGTCCCAGCCTCTGCCACTTAGCATCAAGTGAAAAGCATCTGCAGACAAGGGTTTCATGATAGATTTTGCAGTGTATTGATACTGGAGGAAAGCACATCCTTACAACCAGGTGTAGATAGTGAATTCATAGGTAAAGGATTTTTTTTCAAATATATCATTGAGAAGTCTATGGTCCATGGAATAACACTGGAAATGTTTCATGTGTTAGACTTCCTGGCAGAAGAATATTTATCAATTCTCGCTTAAAAGAAAATAAATGTTAAGGCCAGTAATAATACCTGATGGTCTCATGAAATCTGCTTGTCCTCTAGATTAGGCAATGGGGATACAGATCATCTTTAATTAACACAACTGTCTAACTATTTTTCTGTAGCATGGCAATTCAAGCTGTCAAAAAATGACAACCCCCCCACTCCAAAAACAGAAGAAGTGCCTGCCATGGGACAACAGCATTAGAAAATAATTGCCATGCAAATTGTTTTGATTACATGAGCTGATTGCTTTTCTTTCACTCTATGAAATGAGTAAATTTAATTAGATTTCACTGTATTACAGCATCCTCTTATGCATATTTAGAACTTTCTCAATTTTGCATACTTTGTGAGTGTGTCAAAGATTAAACATAAACAGATTAGAGAGAATGGGGAGGGGGAGGGAAGGGAGAATGGAATTTGTCCTTTAATTTTATTGAAATAAATTGCACTAAGGCTGTGATAGTCACATAACAGGGAGTAAGTCTCTTTGCACTCTGTGAAACTTAATTTTGTGTAGATGTGGTAGGGTTGCACTTTACAAAAACCAGTTGAGGAAACATTGTGAGAATTAATTTCTTTCTTTATTTCATAATTGGTATTTTTAAAGAAAGAACAAAGATTAGCTAGAACAAAGTTTCTAGGATGCCTACCCTGATGCAGGAAGATCAAGCATCAATCTGTTGGAATCCATCATAAAACTCTAAGAACTGGGAGGCTGCATTGCTAAAGAACAATGCAGAAGAAGAAAGAGAAGACCATCTATGAGATAAATGGATTCCATAGAAGCAGCTGCAGCCTTGAATTTACAAAAGCTGATCAGGGCTGCCAAGAATGGAGGATTT